GGATGACAGAAATTGTTGACAAGGAAGTTGCTTTGCTGACACGAGGCAGGGCAAAGCGGCCACGCAAGATTTATTTTTTCATCCACCATTTTTGGAAAAAATATTTTTTATTCATGTGCCGCGTGACGAACCGTGACAAAACACGTGCATGCGTGGGCTAACTTGGCTTTGCTGCTCAAAGCCGTCATTTATGTCTTCATTGTGTCTTATGTACATGCCTAGCCAAGGGTTCAGTGTAGGAATAGTAAAAGTAGTACTCAAGTGACATCATCAACGGGGCAAGGTTCCTAGCCTGTGCTGCATGCAGTACCAAACGTTAAAATTAGTTTTTTTTTAGTCCAACTGTCGTGGACATGGAAGTCTGGTCGCACGTCTAGCGGCCCCAGGGCGCTCGCTGGCCATGCAGGCGTGGGTAAGCAGTACACACATGCATTTATGCGCTGCAGCGCGCTGGTCGCGTCAGATCAACATGTGCACTGCATGCAACGTTCTGTACGCGCTGAGGGCGCCGGCCCCGGTCATTCGACTGGATTTCCTTGTCCACGACAGTACTGTGCCAAAATGAAAGTGTAAGCGAGATAAAAAAATACGAATTGCGAGGACTGGCAGGCAAGGACAGCAGAGCCTTAGAGTACGAGTACAGCTCTATTAACAAGAGCGTATCAAGAGTGCGTAACTCCACATAGGCTTCAGTCACGACTCATTTTTGACGTATTTTATTTTTTCACGGTGCAATGCGCCTGACGGTGCTCGAAACTTCATTGTGCACGGTTGACTTCGCATCTAAAATACATAGGGCCTAATTAGATCACGAGGAATGGAGTTATTCCAGTTACGTATCTGGTCCAGCTTTTAGGGGTGCATAGCCGAAAATCTTGTTGAATCAGTCCGCACCTACAGCAGTAAGAAATTGCAGTGTACAGCTATGCAGCACACATACAGCTAGCTACAGGTAAACGTGAACTTGGCACACTGGCACTCGATTCTGACTTCCCGGCAGCCACTGAACTCTGTGGTCCCCGCCATTTCGCCCGAACATGCGCATGCTGAACGAAGGCAGAAAGACGTAGTGCCCCCCTCCCGTGCTCCTCACGGGGTGCAGCATGACCTGTCTTCTAAAGATGAGTAGTGGCGACAGCAACCATTGGTGGTTGAAAACTCTGTGGAGTTATGTACTCTTGCCAGTAAGTAATGAGAGTAGCGAGATAATAATTGAAATTAGCTGCAGGAAGAGATCTCCTGTAAACAGCGATCTTACTACAACCTCCTACAGAAGTTGTGCAATGACGCACCATCCCGGAGAAAGTGCTGCAAAGTGGATGCGACTTGGTGGCAAGAAAAGACCGTCTCACAAGGAATTTTAACTTAGCAGGCCATTGACGGTGCGAGCCGAAATGAAAATCAAGTTTTGTAGTGGCACTTGCCTGAGGTCAACAAAGCCCCCAACGCCAAAACTATGTCAAATCTCTGCACAACAACATCTTATTTATTTTATTTTATTTCACCGTCCAATGGCAGAAGCCAATGCAAAGGAGAGGGCGCTATCCAGCCATGGCAAGAGAAGGAAAAAGAAAGAAAAAAGGGAAGAACATAATAATAATCGGAAGAAAAGAACGCATCAAAGCGAAAAGAACGCATCAGCAGGGTGAAATTTATCACTGTGTTGCGAATAGTGGCGAGATAAGCTAGCAAAATGTACTTCAAAGTACAGTCAACTTCGCTAATAACGACTGCGGATATAACGACAATTCGCAAATAACGACAGAATTTCCATGTCCCAAGCAAAGTCCCATCTAACTGTAACACATGTAATGAGACTTGGGGTATAAGGGCACTTCGCGAATAAGGACAGTTTTCTGATGCCCCGCCGCCGCCGAGTGTTGTTATACGCAAAGTTGACTGTACATGCAGAAGTGGGGAAACACGTACTATGCTGCAACTGTGAAGCACTGCTCCCTCTCTGCATCCCATGGCCCCAGTGCATGTACTACAGTACGTGAAGTACAACACACGAAAAAGGGTAAAATAATATCATGCTTATAATGTGGTGTTTTAGCTTTAAAATGTTACCAGTTGCATTGGTTTCGCCGTGCTGTGGCATTATGTATTGGTGTATGTGTGCGTAACACATGCAATGCTGGCCCCATTCTCCACCCAGACACTGGCCTTATTGAGATCAACAAGAAGAACAGGGCGAGGGGTTTTATACCGCCACACGATCCCAACGTTCCTGCCACGGTCCCGATGAATCGTATTCCCGCCCACCTGACCAGTGGAGGGGACTACGACGTCGTTCCACCCAATGCAACCACTGCTCAGGGAGCACAGGGCACAAATACCACTGGTCAGATGGCAGCAAATGGAGAGGCCGAGAATGAGTACGACGTCGCCCTGCCACCAACAGCCGCCAAGCCTGGTGCGGACCCGGCCGGTGACACCTACGACACGTTCACGTTCAACACTGAACCGACTGGGGAGGGTCCCGACCCGAGCACGTACGACCACATCGGCAAGGTCTTGCCGAACGCTGCCGCAGTCACTTCCCCTGCTTCGGCTTCACCTGCGGTTCCCAAACCGGACGTGTACTCGACGGTCGATTCAACCAACCTTGCACCGCAGGCCCCAGCACTGGTAACAACTCCTACACAGCCTCCTCCTGACGCGACCCAGGGCACGACCACTGACAACCAACTGCCATCACCAAATTTGGAGTCCCTGGCTACGGATTCACCTGCACCTCCCAGAGACGTGTACTCAATGGTAGATCCAACAAAGAAAAAGCGCAACAAATAGAGTGGAGACATCCCAACGGCATGCCTTGTAAGGCCACTTCTCACAACCCAGCAGTACTTGTACATGGTAGGAGGGCATGCCTTGTAAGGCCACTTCCCACAACCCAGCAGTACTTGTACATGGTAGGCTAAGTCTGACGCTTTCCTTCCATCCTTTTTCGACTTCATCTCCTTCCCTTTCTTTCCTCTGTATTGTCATCATCGGTCTTCTTCAGCCGTCAGCAACCACTCCTGCTCTCTCATTCTGTCTGTCTTTCCCTGTTTCTTTTTTTCTTTCTTCCTGTCCCTCTTCCCGTACCCCAGGGCCTCGGGCAAGCCTATCTGAAACTAGGCCACAGTTCTTCTTGCTGACGTGCTCAGCTGCACCTGCCATCACCATCCCATTGGCCCGGTTCTCCGTTTGCATGTTGCCCTATGTCTATGACTATCGGCCCGCATGCACACACGAGCGCGCACACACAGATACATGCACACGCACACACACACACACACACACACACACACACACACACACACACACACACACACACACACACACACACACACACACACACACACACACACACACACACACATACACACACGCGCACGCTCACAATACGTTCCACGCTACGCACGCATGCACACACACGCGCACACGCGCCATCACAATGCTTTCCACGCTGCGCTTGCTGCATGCCATTCTCCCCTTTGTTAATGTTGTTGTGCATATTTGAGCACCGCACTTTCCCAAGTCCCTTTGTCATGTTCTTCGCCAGGGGCTGCTTGACCCGCACGAAGTTCGACAGAAACCTGCATGCCACTCTCCTACTTTTTGCCACAAAAAATACAAAATCCTACAAAAAAAGTTTCACTCTGGTCATGTATAACACATCTGTAGTGCATGAATGGTCTGCATGCCCACATTAAATACACTCCATCAAAATCAGTCATAGCTGTCCCGCATCCACTTGCATGCTTCCCCTGGTCACCAACTGCTAGCAAACACACTGTTACAATTCCCCAAGAAAAAAAGAAAAAAAGGACAAGTTAATGTTGCACGTTGCCGTATTCTCTCCCTCCGCATGTGATTCCGTTTCCTTGTTTTTATTTCTCGTTTTTTCTGTTTTTGGCTTTTCCACTTCCTCTGTACATGTGGTTACTTCATCTTACGCAACCACTTGTAGCGGTAACTTAGTAGTGTCCCTTTCCTGGTGGCAAGCAGCCTTTGAGCTAGTTTCGCAACCTGCCAAACAATGTATGCCTCCCTTTTCTTTTTTAAATTACTGTATGGTATGGTTTCTTACCGTGTTTTGCGGCCAATTTTGAGCAGTCCCCAGTTTCGTTTCCTTTTCAGTTCGAGCCGTACTCAATTTTCTCCCTTTTTTTAGTAATTCAAGTTGTTTGTGTTACTCGGCGCTTTGCCGTTTCTTGCGTGTTCAGGCTAGCTACGGAGCCGTGCATTGTTTTGCAATCAACGTTATCTCATCAGATCCTCAAATATATCTCTGTGCAGTGCAGGTTTTCGGCCTGACCTTGCGCCAGATTACAGTATCTGTGAGGCATCCACTTTGCGTCACATTGCCGTTTATCTCCTATTTTTTTCACTCCACCAATGGGCAGTGCCTCGACGGCCGTTTCTTCTGTATTCTTCCTTTCTCTTCTTGTTTCTGGTTTTGAAAAAACTCTGAAAATTTTGGTCCTGCCACTTCATGTTCGCAACCTGTTAGCAGTGGAGTGCAGGGAGAAAGACTTCTCAGTGGTCCCACCGGAAAAGATAATAATGACAGCGGAAAAAGCGAGATGATGCGCCCCTCCTTGTACACACGCGCTGCAGTGAGACCATGTCCGTGTCGTCTTTCGACGCGACTGCTACTTGTATAAACACACTAGAAGTAGACAGGCGCCCTGTGCTACCTAAAGTGGGGTGTGACGTGTGTTGTCCTGTGTCCTGCCTTGCTTCTGCCCCCTCCCCCCCCCCCCATGTCGGAGTTGTAGTGCTGCTGACATTGATGGTTCCTTTGAATCCTTCTCCCTGGCCATTCGGCTTCCTTGTGTCCAGGTGTGGCAAGGCCTTGCGCAGCTCCCAAATAGCACCAGAGCCAGCAGAAGCCGGCGTTCCGCTACGTCCGGACGTCCACCAGTACCAGCAGCAGCGGCTTGGTTCGGGACGTGACCGCTCACCGTCGCAACACGACGACAAGAACGGAGATAGCGGCGAGAAGAGTGTCAGCATCCCGTTGTTTGTTCCGACGTCGGTCGAGGACAGGCTCGTGCCTGGGTCGGAGAAGTGCACAGGAGTCGTTCACATTTGATGTCTGCTGCATCAGTGCTCGAGAATTTACCAGATATGAAGTCGTCCTGACCATCCCTCTTTGTTGAGTTTTTGATTCAATGAGTCGCTGCCGCCGAACTTTTTGTCTCCTTTGTGTTGGACACATGACTCGAAGGGAACGTTTATAGATTGAGCCCAACGCAATGCTCTCTCTCCCTGCATTGCCCCGTTGCACCTGTTTCAAAAGCCCCGTACTCTCTTTTATGGTAGTTCTGTTCCAAGGCGCCCAGCGTAGTTGCCGCTGCACCTCTTCCCGTTCTTGTTGTACCTTGTAGTCCTATTTGACAGTGTTCCGCATTTCCACGTTTTGTCCCGCCGCACTTTTGCCTTGCCTTATGGAGAAGTCAGCGTGACAGTGAACTGAATTTTCGTCCGAAGATGTTAACACTGGATAATGCGCACTTGAAAGGGAGCTTTGAACAGTTTTTTTACTGGGCCGAATGACGAAAAATGTAACAGAATAGCATGTGCACCATGCAGGCTGGGGCCTGAGTTACACTGAGTAGGGACAGCGAGTGTGATCGGCATCATCGGAGAGATCTACCTGCTCTGGCTTCTTCGTAGGGCAAGGCGGGACTGTGTGGACGCCAGGCCGACCACCACTGTGTGTATGCACGGCTTATGGCCCAGTAAGAGTTGTGTTGTGTTCATTGGCCTTTGCTGGGCAATGGTGTCAAGAAAGGTACTGAAGTTTGTCTTGTAGATCTGACTACACTGCATGATGAGGTGTTGTGTTCCTGAAGTTTTTCCTCCTCTCCTGTTTGTACCATTACAAAGTTACCGATCTCAGCATGTACCTCTGGTGTTTAGCCGCCCTGGCCACTTTGCTTTTTTTATCGAACAGGTGTTGAGTTTGTGTCGCCGTGTTGTGTTCTCTCTTCCCCCCCCCCCCTCTCTCTCTCTCTCTCTCTCTCTCTCTTTCTCTCTCTCTCTCTCTTCTCTCTCTTTCTCTTCTCTTTCTCTCTCCCTCCCTCTCTCTCTATCTATCTATCTATCTCTCTCTCTCTCTCTCTCTCTCTCTCTCTCTCTCTCTCGCTTTCTTTCTGTGACACCATGATCTATGCGCACTAAAATGCCATCTCGAAAAAATATATCGCTGTCAGTTATCAATTCCGGTTGGGATATTCTACTGTTGGAGCTCGCCTCCTTTCACTGCGTATATGCGTGTTACGCCATGTCTCGTCGAGTATGTCACTGCGCTCACCCTCCATCCCAAATCATTGTCTTTTTGTCTTCCTGCCATCCCAAGTCATTGTTCAACTGCATGTTGTGCTCTGAATTTTGACCCTGATGCCGTTGGACGGGACCGGGGATCTCCTGCTGTTGACCCACATCAGACAGTGTATGGCTGCAGCAAGCTCTGATGTTTCCAGGATGCACAGGACTCTGTCCAGGGAACAAGCATATTCTTGTGCAGCCATACCAATGCAGTTTGACACTAGTGCATCTTGGCATGCCCCCCCCCCCCCCCCCACTTCCCAAACACACACATACACACAGAAATAAAAGAAGAAGAAAATAATAATGGTGGAATCCCTTCCTTAGGGGTCGCAATGGCAGTGGTGCATGTCATGGTTGCCTTCACATTGATGCAACTATGTGATTAGCTGAGCCCTGTGGACCTCAGTCAAGTTAGCTGGCTGTCGGGGACAGTGTTGCCCCATATCCCCTATTTGTGGCTGACCTGCATGCCTTTATAGTGCTTCCCTGGGGTGTACCGGGAAATAGACCACCCGGGAAGATCACTATTGGGCTTACCCACCCTCCTTCCCATGCACACACTGAATATTGGGTCGGGGGGACTTCACCATACGCATGTTTACTGGGTCATACTTGCATGCTCCCATCCTGTCACGCATGGAGGAGGGGTTCTCCCTTATCTTGGGTCCCACCACAAGCCAGTGCAGCAGGGTTCATTTACTAACCTTCCTGTCAGCACCTGTTACCATCTGTTACCCTAGTCAGTCAGTCAGTCAATCACTCAGTCATAGTCATGCATGAATGCCATAGCCTCGGCCTTAGGCACAACCCTGTGTGTGTTTGTGTAGGTCTGTGTCTTCTGCTCCTGCTGCTTCTCCTGCTTTTGGTGGTGGTGGTGCTGCTGCTGCTGTTGTGCACATACACATTGCCATTGACTCCCATGGTCTGACCAGTCACTGGGCGTGCTCAGTGGTTGATGCAGCCTGACATCAGCACTACCACCACTAGACCGCTGTCACAAACTAGCTGTCTGCTGCACATTGGCACACATGTGAATTGTCTTGTATTGTCTGGATTCTCCAGAGGTAAATGAAGACCTCTCTTGGGAGTCTCTCCAAAAATGATAGATAAAGAAAATATGAAATATGTAGTATGACTGTGTAGCCACCACCACGATTGCCTTCGGTGGACCGCAGCGAACACTTCCTTGTGTCACAAGCCAACGCCATCTGCCAGTGCCATCTACCACCGCCATCCAGTGCAGTCACCGTCGCGTGCATGCGTCCACAACGCCATCACTGCATATAAACAGGTAACGACTCCCTCTGTCATTCATTCATAGCCACTCAATGACGTACGCTATCATTTTATGCCGTTTTTTTGCGCGTTGTGCCTTTTGCATTGTTATCCTACTAGCAAAACTCTGTACAGGTCTCGCCGTCATTGCTCAACTGCTTCATGTAGTATTCTTGGCACGAAATTCTTTTACAGATTAAGGAGGCTCCGAACAGTTGCGCAGCGCAGTGTAAAAAGGGCACCTCCGAAATCTGTTTTTGCCGCGAGATTCAAAAAATGTTGTGTTCCATGCGGAAACAAGCTGTTGTTCAGAAAGAAGTTTTTTGATTTCTCTGTGCTCGCAGTTGTTCCAGGATGTAGTTCTACTCGTTGCAGGTTTCTGTAGCCGTGGCTGTTTCTACGCTGGAAAGAATCACTGGCCATGGCTAATGCAAAACAAAGGCAGTTCCTACGCTGCTTGATTTTTTTGTGAAAACTTTGTTGAAGCGGTACGATGTGGCCACGAAGAACAAATATATTATTACTGACGAAGAAGGGTGAGAAAAGCAGGTTGAAGTCAGTGAAGACATCGATGTCGAACGTAGTGATACTAGTACTGGTACTGGAATTTAGCATGGACTACCTGTGGAGCGTGAAGTGGCTGCCCACTCGCTGGTAAGTGGACCCACTTGCAGCTCCAGTCGCACGAGTACCGTTTGAAACTTTCTGTGGATCCTAGAGTATCCTGAGCTCAGTGGACGACGCATCTCAGAGCTGCTGAACTTGGGCTACTGTCCCTGTAGGAATGAGGTTCGTGTCAACCACTGTACTGCACTGATGGTGTAAGGAAAACGCTGGCCAGAAGCTTGTGTTCTGAACCAGGGACGAACTTCTAAATCCTGCTTTTGTAGAAATAGGGATGCCACAACTAAGATGTGCACACTCAGGTGTGTATTGGGTAAATGCCTGTGGTTGATTATTTTGAATCCTTTCCTATGCGCAAGTACATGCGTTTGTGTGTGTGTGTACGCGCGCGCGCGCGTGTGTGTGTGTGTACGCGTGCGCGTGTGTGTGTACGCGTGCGCGTGTGTGTGTACGCGTGCGCGTGTGTGTGTACGCGCGCGCGCGCGAGAGAGAGAGAGTGTGTGTGTGTACGCGCGCGCATGCGCGTGCGTGTGTATGTGTGTGTGCAAGCTGTTGAAAGGTGTAATCCGAGCACAAGTTGCTATGTCTAACGTAGTTTGTTCGCTATCCTCGCTTCAGCGTTGGGCAGGTGTATGAGTGTGTGTACGCACGTGTGTGTGTGCGCGCGTGCTCGTGCCCGCATGTGTGGGTTCGCACGCAATGTTGATCTGGGTTATGCACATGTCCCCACGAGTGCACTGTGTGCATGTGCATGCAAATGTCTGTGTACATGTATGTGTGTATGCACGTGAATGTGTGCGCGCGTGTGCAAAGCTAGGTGTGGAAGGGGGGGGGGGGGGGGAGGGGCTCACGGTGCTGGT